TGCTTGATTTCTTTATTAATCAGCCGTCCAGTACTCTTATCGTTGTCGATAATGATAACATTATGAATGCTGATATCAAATTCATATTGACATTGTTAAAAGTTTGATTACAATGATTAAATCGTTAGCTGAAAACATTTTGTTCAAAGACTTGTCGAATTGCCTCCGAAATACACCAGTCGTTTATTGATGTATATGTCAACGATGCCTTAATAATTTCTAGTCCATATATGTCAGATAACATACAAATTCACAATGTGGATTCTTGAAAGCACAGGAAGTAAACATTCACGACAAAGAAAGGCATTATCAAAATACATAGCATAACGTACTATTGAAAACAAAAGTTTGGTGTAAAGAAACATTAACCTTAGGTCATTGTAAATGATTAATCTTTCCAGTTTTGTCATTTTGTAAAGAGATATCATTCATTTCTTCCTGTCTATCAACTTTTATCGGGAAACATTTGTCCAAGCATACTTAATCAGCTAATCTCATGATAGATCACGATGTTTTAGCATAATGGCGTCTGTTCTTTCTAAGCTGCATAACACTTTGACTTCATGTAAACGACTTGGAAAAGCTATTTATTTGATGGATATTAGCAGAAAATGATCTTAAATGGTTTGGCAACAGAACCTTTTCTCTCCCTTTTTAATCCATAAAATATGATTCTAGATAAAATCCACTTCTGCACAATCTATTTCAGAAGAAGAAACACTTTTATTCTATAGGCACTTGAATTACTATTTCAAAGCGAAGAAAATATAACTTGTATAATTCAATCTAGTTTTAAACGGAATTGCTACAAATACGTAAATCTATTGCATTTATTATTACCTTAGGAGAGCTAATAAAATTAAATTGGGAGAATATCGACGTGAAATATTGAATAAGGATAGAAATGGTTTCCTTGTTTTTGTTGGTTGACTCAATGCACAAAATATTTTTTGACATGCTACAATATCAAACAGACGAATAGGATCATCGTTATTAAAACGAATAGTAAGAAAAACAAGCACTGTTCGTGTCTCGAATCTGCTTAGTTTCCCAAAACTTAAGTTAATTATGAAAGTTAATGTTGAAGCATTATTGCATTAAACTTCATAATTGTACTTAGTACAAATTTATAAAAGCCTGTCGAACGTTCTTTTTTAATATGCTTTTGTCATTATACTCAAAGGTTGATATCCTAGGCAGATACAAAATATACAAAAATGTACAATAATGTTGCTTTGGTTGTTTTCGGGATGTCTTGTGTTCCATGAAGTTAGCAATTATTTAATTTAAGTTAAACCATTGAATGTTTCCTAATGATTGGCGTCTACTTTTTCATTATAATGACTGACTAAGATTAAAACATTTTAGTGAAAGATGTAATTAACAGTAACTGTTTACATAAAAATTGAAAAAAATAGTACAATATACTTTTCATATATTGATACCTTTCTCTATCAACTAATGAGTTAAATGCTAGCCAGATATACATGCTAAATTTCTCTTATTGGAGATTTCTTGTGAAAGATCGTTGCGTATTTATGGGATCTTATACATATATAACGATTTTTTTAAAATAGTGAATTGACATTGTTACCATAATCCTATTAACCGAGGATCTGTTCAGGAAAGAGGTACAATGTCTTTGTTATTAAACTCATAGAAGTATATATCGTCACCTTAACGACGAGAAATGTTTATCGAAGTTTACAGAGTAAACGTTTGGACGCTTTTTAATATTTCCAAACGATTAAGCATGTATATCAACATTTTACATGTATGTCTATCATTATACATACATATCTAATATTATACATGTACATCTAACATTGTTCATGCATATCTAACATTTTACATGCATATGTTACATTGTACAGGGGTATATCTAACATTACACAAGCGTATCTGACATTAAACATGTATATCTAACATGATGCAAGCAAATCTAACATCAATCATGAATATCTATATTTATGAAATTATGTATATCTACATGTATATGTATATCGATATTGATAACTATCCCTCATATTAATATAATCTTTCTTCTCAACGCAAAAAATTGCACTCCAGTATTTCTCATACTTCTCGTACCAGTAATTATGTATATCACATCTATATAGACGTTTGACGTTTCATAAACTGCAGTAAGACAGCTATTTACAAATCTATCAAATGTAGAATTAGATATAAGACTACATCATTACAGACGCTCTTTTTGTCCCTAGAGATAGAGTATATTTTTGTAATCATCTTCAACGTTCTAAAGTCGTCAAAGAACCATTGCGCTAATAGAAGGTTATACATCTTCGTTGAAATATTTAAACTGATTTAATTGCATCAAATCTATGAACAAATCAAATATATTTCATTATTATGTTTAGATATATCATTCCAATGGAATATAATTAAAAGTTAAAGTTTGAGGCAAATCATATTTAGTAAAATACTAAATGAATTATCATTATTATTAATAGCGTACTGGTCTTAAGACATTTTTTGTAAGTGGGCTTATCTCTGGAAGTACTATAATACTTATTCGTGATACTAATATGTTGCAAAATAAATAATAAAGTCATTGAAATGTGTTCAATTAAGAACAAACATACCGTTTGATTTTAGAAATAGATCACATATTTTTCTGGTGAAATTTAGCATTTTATGCTGTATATAAATAATGCACTTGTTATCAGGCTATTAATTATAAGATTGTTCCGCCTGATGGAAAGCATTTTATCTACTCTGTCTAATATTTAGCCATTTTGACATTATTAAATATGTTTGAAACATATAGAATTTATCCTAAGCTCGATATTAAAACTAGTTGAGAAGCATACTTTTAGTCACTGACAATTAATTCTGAAGTTATTCATTTGTAAGCTATGTAAGTATATTTCTAAATTTAAGATAATTATAGAAATGGAAATATCATACATTGTATCAAATCATTTTTGTCCTTAAATTTTTTACATACCTTCATAAAAACCATAAATGTGTCATTTGTTTTACGTACAAATTCGTTGGGCCGCACGATTTCTTAAATGGTATACTTTTGCATATGCATTTCATTTGAAAAGAGCATTCGACCTTTTGAAAGAAAACACTTTGTTTCTTACGTGAGAAGCGTTTTATGACGTTAATGTACCACAACAGAAATGTTTATTTTCTCTTTTAATATCAATAGTATCAGAAAAAGTTGTCCTACGCAGGCAATGACTTATCATTTGTTTTTGCCACAAATATGTCGAATAATTTGTTTTTGATGACAGTTTGGCACCAGGCAAATTACATTAACGGTCATGTAAGATACGATTAAGTAAACATTCATGTGACAAAAGGCATTTTGTTATTACTAGAAAAGTCAACATTGGCGAAACATATATGTATAATTGTTCTTCAGATGATGAAATGTCTTTTCAAATGTAGATGGGTGTATGTGTGTTTTACGCACGGTAATAGGTAATGCCCCTAACATGTTTATATGATTTAACAAATAACTAGAACTGTGTCCAAAGGACACGGATGCCCCCACTCTGCAGATGCGCTCGTAAACAAGAGCATGCATATCTGTATGTAAGATTTTTATGTGGAACTTTTTCATTCCACTGTTTCATTTCTGTACATATACCTAAAATCATCTACAGGTAACATTATGTACATGTTAAATTAAATTACAAATGTAAAATTTAAATGGTCAATTATTCATATGGTATTTAGTGAAAAAATCAACACAGGGTCATAATTATGTTAAATTTGTCAAAGGAAAAAATCCTTTCTTTACTACCATCTACACATAAAATCTGTTTATCCCTGGAAGTTTAAGCAAAATCTGCCATCCGGTTTAAGAGGAGTTACTTTCACAAAATTTCTATATGGTATATAGTGAAAAGATCTACAAAGGGCCATAATTCTGTTAAATTTGGTCGCAGCAAAAATTCCTTCCTTTACTACCATCTACACATTAAGGTTGTTCATCCCTGGAAGTTTAAGAAAAATCTGCAATCCGGTTTAAGGGGAGTTGCGTTCACAAAATTTCTACTCAGTATATAGTGAAAAAAAACAACAAAGGGCCATAATTCTGTTAATTTATAAAATTTGGTCGCCGCGAAAATGTCTTCCTCTACTACCATCTACACATAAGGTTGTTCATCGATGGAAGTTTAAGCAAAATCTGCCATCCGGTTTAAGAGGAGTTGCGTTCACAAACTTCCGCGACTTACGGACAGACGTACGGACGTTCCAACATTTTGGGTTTAGGGGCTATTTTCTTTGTTATTCTCTTTGTTTTCTTAAGGGCTACTAGCCCATCAACTCTTTGATCACGGAATGAACCTATTGTTCTCTTTTGTTCTCTTAACTGTTACATAGCCCCTAAACCAAAAATGTTTGCTCGGACAGACGTACGTACGGACGGACAAATGCAACGCTTTATGCTCCCCACTTTGTGGAGGCTTAAAAATGTTAACATTCATAACAGACAAAACAACTCATTAGTTCACACTGAAAATAACATTTAAAATTATAAATATTGTACTTAATATATTTTTAAGCAAATATTATATCTTTGAGTGGAGGGTGAAACTTGTTGACATAGTTCATAACGAAACTGTAAGTAGTTTAACTTCAATAAATCGTTGTTTTGATGGAGTCTACATATTGTAAAAAGATGAACATGTAAAATAATATTCGTTTATGAATATATGTATAATTCCTTTTCCTTTCTTTCCTGGGATTATTCTATACTGTCATACAAAATAAAATTACTCTATTAAAGTAACATAATGGCGAAATGATAATTTCGTTTATGAACAAAATTCAAAAAAATTATTTTTTCAATGTTGTAAAATCAAAATGCGTATTAACAAAAATGCATGCATGTAATGCACATTCTCGTCTAATTATAAATTTTAATCGGAGGGAATTTTCAGGTTACCTATTTTAGTATATATCTTTCGTATATACCTTTAATGGCATTTATATGGCATTAATAATATCTTTTACATAAACATTTCCATTCATGTTATTTAACACAAATAATCTTGCCAGAATTAACTTATTATACATAATAAAACGCCAGCTATTTCATATTACTTATAAATTTTCAATCCAAGGGGAATGATTCATTGGTCTGGTTCAATAGCTTAAAGCAGAGTATCTTCCCTTTATAGTGTTGATATAATTTAGTAATATGTGTGATTATAGGCAATTTTATAATCATTCATTTAAAAATAAAACAAGCAATTATAAAAGCTTAAAAGCAAAACAAAAAGTCCCATAACGGCTCGAACCCTACAAGAAATATGTCAGCAACATTCAGAAGGGTCATGGACATTCAATGATGCCATTGTGGAAGACATGGATGACTTCTTGAGTTCATAGTTTGTCTGTGTTTTATTAAGGTGTTGAAATGTCCCTGCCTAAATAGGAAGTAATGTTTATACAACAGGTCATCAAAAGATCCAATATATATTTTCTTAAGATGTATATGTAATATTTCAATTCACCTCTATTTTATAAAATTTTGTTGAAACATTTCCAAGATTTTTAAAAGACGAAAAGAATTTTAGAGACGGACAGACAGAAAGACTGACAGATCAATTGCCAATATTTAAACATCCTTGGTTGTAACCAAACTATAACATATTTTCATCAAAGTTTTTAAAATAAAGAGGAATTAACTCTTGAACAAAGATTCTACACTAATGAACATTTTCATACATGATATTAGCGATGACAAAGAACAATTTCTTAAGTGTAAAGTAAGTACCATTTATAGTAACAGAGCAGAAAAGTTGAAAAATGAAAGAAATTTCAAACTTATTCCAAGTTCATAATGAAAATAATCATAGAATTCCAGATGCTAGACTAATAAATATTATTACAGATGATGTAGGTGTTGATAATGAACATATATTTAGAATTAAATGCAAAACCATGAAGAAATAAGAAAGTTATAGAGTAAAATAGGATACATCAAAGTTTAAGGGGGGTTTATTATGGAAATATGGACGTAAGATTTATTAACTTTGTCATATTATTATGATGTGGGCTTTCAAATATTAAAGTTAACCCTTTAAGAAATGAAATTACAGTTAAACATAATAATTTCAAGTTCAAGAACGCCATTATTCTGGAAATAATCAAGCAAGATTATTGAATCTCCACACAACTGACTTATGTGAAATTAAGAAACATGGAGACGAAAAGTCATGAAAGTAAAGACCAGAGTTATAACAAATAATCATTCTTGTTTTGTTTAAAAGAGTGACATTGTACCCAATCTTTTGTTACGGAACGAACTATCGTGTTCTTTTTGGTTTTATTTAAAGTTAAATGGCCCACTTTCCCTGTGATGCAATGCAAACAGACGGTCAGGCAGACGAACAGAGGTTAAACCGGTAGCGGACTACAAAACATTTCTTTTCTTATAATGTTATTATGAAAATATACCACCAAATTGTCAACAATGAATAAATATGTCATTCATAAAACACACAAGAATAGAATATTGAATTTTAAAACAAAAATGAATCATATAAAACATTAAAATATGTTTGCAAGATAAGTAAATATACTGATTAACCCATTACTTCATATACACGCCTTTTAACGCCCTTTTCACCCCCACCCCCTTTTTGTTGTCTCAAATGGTGAAACAATGCCTTATTTAGGCCCCTAACACTTGTTTTTGTTTGAGAAATGTTGTTAAAAAAAGTGACCACTTTTTTGGCGCGGCCCCCAAAGCAAAAGATGCATCAGGGGGTTGCCAGAAGGGGGATGTGACCCCTTCTGTTTGGGGGGTTTGAAGGGGGGCGGAGTCCCCCTCATCGCCAAGAAAATTTTGGTCTTGTGAGAGGCTATAAATGACCCCAGATTGATCATAAGGTAACGTGTAACCAACGCTGAAAAGCATTTGACTCTATCTCAATCCATTGAGAAGTTGCAGCACTTTGAAATCAATTATGATGGATAAAATCAACGCAAAAAAAATAGTGATTTTTGGCAATTTTGAGATGTCCCCTCGTTGCCATGGTAACAGAAAATTTATGTCTGAGCATGTTGTTGCAAGGGCAATGGTCCAGTCAACATTTGTGCCAAGTTTGATTAGTGTTGAAGCAGTTTTTATAGTATTATAGAAATTTGAACTTGTAACGGGAGACTTTTCAGTGAAAACAGCCATTTTTCACAAAATGCCCATGAAGTAATGGGTTAATGAAAAAAACAAAAAAAATCTACCAAACAACAATTTTTCTTCAAATTTATATGACAGGCCATGTTTAAACATGGAAAAACGCGTTTTAGGGCAATTTCAAGTATTTTCATCATATTCTGTTAACCCATTACTTCATATACACGCCTTTTAACGCCTTTTTCACCCCCCCCCCCTTTTGTTGTCTCAAATAGTGACAAAATGCCTTATTTAGGCCCCTAACACTTGTTTTTGTTTGAGAAATGTTGTTAAAAAAAGTGACCACTTTTTCGGCGCGGCCCCCAAAGCAAAAGATACATCAGGGGGTTGCCAGAAGGGGGTTGTGCCCCCTTCTGTTTGGGGGGTTTGAAGGGGGGCGGAGTCCCCCTCATCGCCAAGAAAATTTTGGTCTTGTGAGAGGCTATAAATGACCCCAGATTGATCATAAGGTAACGTGTAACCAACGCTGAAAAGCATTTGACTCTATCTCAATCCATTGAGAAGTTGCAGCACTTTGAAATCAATTATGAAGGATAAAATCAACGCAAAATAGTGATTTTTGGCAATTTTGAGATGTCCCCTCGTTGCCATGGTAACAGAAAATTTATGTCTGAGCATGTTGTTGCAAGGGCAATGGTCCAGTCAACATTTGTGCCAAGTTTGATTAGTGTTGAAGCGGTTTTTATAGTATTATAGCAATTTGAACTTGTAACGGGAGACTTTTCAATGAAAACAGCCATTTTTCACAAAATGCCCATGAAGTAATGGGTTAAACTAACTGTGTAACTAAATTAACTGTCCAACTATTCAAATGGAAATGTTTTATTCGATGATACAGTTGTAATTATTATTATATTTTCAAACTATGAATAGCCTAATAACCACACAAAACAAATTTCTTTGCCAAACAAAATCAGTAGTATAATCGCTTAATTATATGATATTATAATATTTATGACACAAAATGTTTAAAAAAACAAGAATACTTAACAGAAATGGGTTGTCTTCACAAACAAATGTAAGCGACAACCAGAAGATGAGTGTACACATAAACTAAGATCAACAATCTCAAATGTTTTAATGATTACAATAAAGATATTTTGTATGTACTATATATCACAGCAAATCGGTTGAAGTAAATACTTGTCATAAAAGACTAAATTAAACAAAAGATGACACATGGTTATTTCAGTTCATACGCAGGCGCTTTATTGCAGCCTGAATACCCATTACGTCTTACGTAGCATCATACTCAATATTTGCATTAAATACTGAAATGAAATCATTTCCTAGATTGCCACCGATCACCGAATTGTCTATAACGTCAAAGGCAAACGACCTAGGGCAGCGCAACCCAATTGCAGCTTGTTTCAATACCTTTCCAAGTTCGATATCTACTAGATATAACGTGTTAGACGCACACACGAGAAGCATTTGATTGTTTACTATGCATAGATCAGTACAACCCTGTAATTCCTGTAGTGTTACTGTCGACCGATTTTGGTTGTTCGCATCAATTATAATAAGACCAACCACTCCAGCAGCCACAACAATCTTACTTCTGTCATCACTAACAACTAAGGCATAACATAAAGTTTCCTGCCTAAACTTGTGTAAATTTTTATTATTGTCTCCGTTTTCATCACACGTATAGATTGACAGGTTGTCGGTATAGTATATGGCACTGTCTTTACTGTATAAGCGAAAACAAGGGGCCTTTGTTTTGAAAAACTTCTCTACCTGAATATCAATATCCCCAACACTAACAACACAAACCTGGTTGCCAAAGGCAACAAAGGCTTTTGTGGCATTAATTGCACAAATGTCAAAGGTTTTTTCCAACTGATCAAACGTATATTGGCCTACAACGTTATAGGTCAAATCAAGTTTCTTCAACTTATTATTTACATTATCGATGAGCAGAATCTCACCTGAAGGTAGTGTACAAAGTTTCATTGTAGTACACAATATATGTGCCGGTTCATCACTTCTGATCCTGTATATTTTTGTGCTAACATCCTTTGTTCTTTGTCTTACACCCTGGCACATTCTAAAGAAGATAAAAAACTTATTATTGACAACGTGACCATGTTTGTTGTGGTTCAGCTTTATCTAATTTAATGCAAAAATTACCTAAAGTTTTTTATGGTTTAAGTGGAAATTTTTTTTGAAATTTAGACAAGAATTCCGACCGAGCCTTCAGGGTGATAAGATCAAATTGAAAGTACACAGGTTGTCGAAATCTTGAAATATTTGTTTGAAATTGTTTGATATTAACGAGATATCAACTGTAGAAAAAAGCGGTTTTCCCTAAATTGTTCTTAAGACCAAACAGGCTTTAAGTGAAGAAATGCTACATTGATACAAACACACATTACAATAATGCATGTTGCATTCTAAAGGGATCCGTCCGTCACTGACCTCAAAGCATTTCCAATACATACTTTCTGTAAACAAATGCAGCTGCCAATAAATTCGATTAAAACCGACATTAATGTCGTTTAAATTGATGGATTGAAGTCGAAATTGAATCCTTGAAAACATTTGCAAAGTGATTTTGTCAAACACAAAGATAAATACAACGTCATAGTGTTAGATGATTTCGATGACTAAAATTAAGCTTTTGAAAAGACAAAACACTTCAATTTATTGCCCCTTAACAAACAATCAGCGATAAATACAAATATATACACAGAGACAATAAAATAAACTAAATATAACCTACTGTTAATTCATTGGAAGTAAGGATTTACGGTTTTTTGTTTGTTTTGGGTTTTATGTCACATCGACACAGTATAGGTCATATCGCGACGTTCCAGATTAACTGGTGGAGGAAGACCTCAGGTGCCCTTCAGTGCATTATTTATTAATGGATTAAATTATGTTCAAAAACATATACATTTCATGATATTTACTAATTAATTTAAAGAGGACAAAAGTAGTTCAGAATTTGAAATTTGGCCATCATGCACGTACTGGTTTCAATGATACTGTCGAAAACGAGGAACAATGTATTATGAAAGCAGGAACAAGTTACATGAGTACTTCACTGTGCAGAACGAAAATAAGTCTCCCAATATTAGTGCATAAGTGCATTGTGTTTAATATTAAAGCCTTACCTATGCTTTTCTTCGCATTTATGACAAACAAACTTATCATGTTCGGGACAAAACAGCTCAGCCTGTTGCTGGGGATGATTTTCGCAGAATAAATCGTCGGCGTGTGTTTCATTTATGACACCCTGTTCCACTGAAGTCAAGAAAAGTAAGGCATAGTAAAATGTTGCATACCTCACGTTACATGTATACAAATGTAAACTTTAGTTAAACTTTACACTAAAACTTTTTGTATAAATCATGAATATATTAAATTGATGTGTATATAAATTTACATAGCACTGATTTAATACGTTATACATATTAAGAGGACTTGCAGGAAACATCGTCAAAACACACATTACTAGTTGACTTAAAGATCTTTACAAGTCTGTGTTAGTGATGACAATCGGATGTAATGCAGATGAAAAACTGTTAAAATAAAAGAAGTATGCATGATATCAGTAAAGGAAAGAATGTAGTAATTACCAAATCTATGGCGTTTGCTAAGAAAAAGTACAGTGAATTTAGCAATAATAAATAATTAAATAGACATTTTGAAAAAAATCAATGGAGAATACATGTTAATTATTTAGTAATAATTATAATCTATAATGCATACTCAAATGTTGTTGCACTTCCTTTATCTTTTCATGTGATACTTTGGCATGAATGACGCAGACAATTTCGTACTCTTTACAGAGAGCAGTTTTAAGGTTTTCTATTTTTGATTTAAATTCATTCCCTTTCAGTGTCTGTAACAGCATTCTTATTTCTTTACAAGACGCACACGCCATAGTCATTACAACAGTATTATCTTTATCCACAGATGCTGCTTTGACCTCTACGTTCATAATAGAGGATATATCTTTAACTGCTTTGATTAGTTGATCTGAATACTTTTCCATTGACCCTTCAAAAATGCATTTAACTACATTGCAGCATTCCTCTGAGCTAGGTTTAGATGAAGTGTATATACCCAATTTCTCCTCTATATCTGAATACAAATATTTATAAAGTTCAAATATTATGAGAAATATTAAGATATATATATACATATTCAACACGCAATTAAAAAAACGTTATCATTTTGCGATGTGTCTCTCAAAGGGAAAGACTTAATATATGTTTGTCTTAAATTTTTATTTAAACAAAATAGTTAATAAAAATATTGGAACCCTGCTAAAAGTTCAGCCATTGAATTAAACTTAAGAGTAACAAATTGCAAATGTAGTTGTAGAAAAATGCAGCGGACATCATACTCCACTAAATATATAAGTTCCATGGTTTAAATATTAAGCATCTGATATTACTTATTTGTCAAGGTTAGCAAAACCTAGTTTTTATGAATACTGACGAATGTGATATATTGGTAAACGCAAGATGTTACAGGGTAATACTGGGTTTTCCTGGGTTATAAAAACTTTGATATAAATACCACTGTCATAAAACATATCAATGTTTGTTTTGAATATCTTCCTATAAAGAAGCGTTCGCCTTTATCTTTACCAAGAAAAGTTTGTAATTTGTTTCTATATATCTGAACTGTAGATTGTGCATATGGATTAGCTTTAAATATCATTAATGACTATAACAGTTTATAGCGCATTTCAGTAAACCAAGTCCAAGTAGGAAAGAGAAAAATGAATACCTTGTGTTCCTTCGAATTTCTTTCCATTTTGAATGGAAATGACCAATTGTTCCTCCACTAAATTGACAGACGTTTCCTCAATTGATTTTTGATGTCGAATTTCTAGAACAATAAAAGATACGTCTGTAGCTAAAACGTTACACATCTTCACTTTTTTCTAATATCACTGCATTTGATTATGATATGAAAATAATGATATTGTCTCGACTACGAATTCCCTATAATAATAATAATTCTTTTCTTTTTAATATTTTTGATACTGCACAATACACACGTAAAACGTTATACAATCATGAATACACTCCTGATGATTGCAATACGCCAAACGTACTCATATATTTTATACGAACATATTTTCATTTTCTTGTGAACAATACTTACACTCTTGTAGATGTTTTTTTCTTCTTTAGATTCTTTGTAAATCAATCATAATAGATTACTATATATATTATTATATATTATTAATAGTATTTCATTGTTATGATTATTATTAGTTGTTGTGCTGGTAGTGGTGGTAGAAGTAGTCATGGTTTTTGTGATGGTAGTAGTGGTGGAAGTAGTAGTAGTAGTTATTAACTTTTTAATCAAAATTATATTTAAACACCAAATAGGCAACCTTTTAATCTTCGTCTAGTCTGTTCCTTCAATTCGTTTTGTATGTCTGTTGTTTCTTCCCCTCTTTCAGTATTTTCAATAAACTTCAGTAAAAGATACTGTTGGCTTTTTCCAAGGTATTTTTTGAAAAGTTTATATACATCGGTGCCGTTTTGTCTGACCTTTTCTATAATTGCTTCGTTCTTCTTCGTTGTAGTTGTTTGTTCCTAAATATAAAAGGTTCAAACTAACAATGGAATAATGTTCACATGTAATATTATTTATTTACAGTTAAAGATAGTACAAGTTTATCACTAACGCACCTATTCTTGATGGCCAAGGGGCAATATAAAGGTAAAGGTACCGCTTCGGCCGCTACATACAAATACAAGAGTTGATGAAGCGCCAGTATGCGAATTCTTTCGTGAGCAATTTCTACACAGTTGTGAAGTCCTTTTGGCTGTGCTTTTGATTTCAATCTCGTTATTCTTATATGACTTCTTATATAATGGTTTCAGTTTATCATGTGGTAAAAATGTATACGATGTCAATCTGTAGTTGATATCTGTATAGAAATTTCTTTTTTTACACTTAATTGCACAATATAGCACTTGTGCAAATAAACATATTCCATTTCTACCATTTAACAGTGAAATATTGCTTGACACTCTTATTTGGCTGGTCAAGCGATATTGTTAAATGTCATCTAAATAAGTATCTTTATACTTAATTTATTTTCTTTGAAATCCACTCATGTTATGCATCTGTTAGTGCAGGAGTCAATATTTTATTTATTGGCCTACAAAGTACATTGATGACATACCATGATATCACGTATGACAGTATTCTGGAAAACTTCGTCCTGTATCAAACTATCTAATATTGGTTCAGGATTCATACTTTCTTTAATTGTTGATATTGATCTATTCAGCACGCGCGTATGTGACTTCTCTGTGTCTTTTCTTGTCTCCTGTTTATCATCTTCTGAAAAATAATGATTTATTATCCATATTAATTTTATTTATCATTCGAAAGAGTATTTTAAATTATTTACCTTATTATTGTTTAAGTTGTAAAAATAAGTTATTGGCTACCCTTTCTAGATAAAAAGGCACATTGAAATAAGTGTATCGATATTTGTTGCATTGATTATTTTCCCAAATAGATTAAATTAAATATAATTCCATGCTTAATTGCTCAATATTTAATAAAATGTTATCTTTGGTGAAGGCTATAAATACAACTTTCGACAAAGTCTTCATAAAAAATATAAACTAAGCACATATTAAACCGAAACAGTTTGATTACGAATGTGGTTTGCAAAGCTGAAAAAAGAACGTAATTGAGAAAGAATAAAGTATACATTTAGATTGTCATACACTCATACCTTTTTCATTCAAACTGTCTGATATTTCTTCTTTGTCTTCAGTTGTTTCTTCGTCACATACGTTTTGAAACAAATGTTTTTGCCTTGTTTCAGCACATTCTTCATCCTATAAGACATTATACACATTGTGCAAAGTATGTCATTTATCAAAATCAACTGACCTAAATTTTTGATGATGTGAGATTCATTTGAACTTTAATATCAGCTGACCTAGATACTTTAATTTCTTCTCCTGTGATGTTCAGCTTTAAAATTTGGACAATGTGCATGTAGATGTATAATTTAACTTTGATAATTGCAGACCTAGATAGTGTGGAATAATGACATAGTTTCTTTGCCGTTGATGTACAGCGATATAGTTTGAACTATGAGCATAGTTTCAGATGTCAAATTGACCATCGAAGATTATGGGAATGATTCATAATTTGACAAAACAACAAGTGTGAATAGACCTACCTTTTGAAATTTTCAAAGAAGACATTTTCTTTTATTTTTTCATTTATTTATACGATTTGTTTAAACTATTTTTGCTTGCTTTTAAAAAATATGAAAACTTCGAGCGTTTTCCTGCATATTGGTGTCTCTTGTTAACAAAGAAACCTACTTTTTGCTTTTAGCAGACCCTTTAATAAATATACACTCCATATAGAGTACCAGCACTGTACTTTGACCTAGACACAAAGGAATATCTGTAAAATATTTTCGACCTGATGTTTGATATAGCCATTAAGATTTATTTAGTGGAGGTCATGCATATTTTCTCACTCCTTTCATATAAATTCCTGTTTATAACAACTACCTTTTTGACAGCTCTGTGCTATGTTAGGCAGTAAGAAATGGCAAAATTCTTATTTCCTATATATATATTTATAAACGTTTTGCTAACAGTCTAATACAAGTCTAATACAAGTCAATGGGTAATAAATAAAGGTAATGACTGATTTGAATCATACTTTCTAAACAATGAATAAAAATGATTGTTTTAAAGAGGACCACCTTGTGGAGTTTGAACTGTATAACCATCCAACTTGGTTAGAATCTAATCTAATGACATACCCTAATATCACGAACATCGGTGTAAGGGATATCGGCATTCGCTTGTAATCTATCGAGAATTGGTTCAGGATTCAAACATTCCAAAACTGACTTGTCTAGCACGTCCTTGTGTATCTCCTCATCATCAATGACTTCTTCCTCTTCATCAACATGTGATAAATGGTAATTAAATTTACTTACTTAATACATGTATTAGTTTACGCATTATCTTATACTAATGATAGATTTAGATAAAATATTAAAGCAATTTAAGCTTTGGTCATTACATAATAATATATTAAAACCAGCCTTAAAGTTTGTATTTATTGACACTGATTGTATTGAATTCAAAAAAGCTACATCTAATGAAATAGCTTTACAAAATTAATAATTAGACACATTACCTGGTTTCCATTTTGATATGGTAGATTGTCAAAAGAGTTTTAACATATAATGCATTTTCTGTTATTTAACACACATGGAAATTGTACAAAAACAGAATAAATTGTTCTTGGTCAAAGTGATTAGTGCATGTACCATTGGCTTACAAGGAGGTTATCTTACATATTTCTTTGATATAGGCTTAATGGGACTTTTTCACACTCAAACAATATTTTAACTAGATATATAGAAAAGAGATCGAGTTGAAGATTTTTTAAATTCAGTGTACAAACGTCTAATAATGCCTCAATTGGAGGACATTTCTTGACACTTTTTGGTACTTTTTTTAAGGTGATGAAGTTTGAAATTTTTTATCGCGAAGGCTACGGATATTCAACTGTAATAGACATCATATGGCGGCGTCTTTGATGTGCAGCAGCATCAACTTTTACCTGTAAAACATTGATGTAACAGCTCATATCGTACATTAAGAATTGTTACATTAATTATTAGCTTTACAGATTTGCCACGGAAGTAATGTACGAAGTTATAGACGAGCGAACAATTAAATTATCAGACGTTTATAGCTTACTAACCAAAATCGATAGTTAATTCTTCTTTGCCATCATCATTAGTGTCCATGAGATATTGTGTGTTTGGATCCCAGTCTTCAAATTTGTTATCTATAGCGTCATCTTTATCGTCATATGTATCACCCCTACCCTAGAATCCATAATATTTACATACACAATTAAAGCAGTATATTTCAATTCGCAGTTTTTTTTTACTTTTCAACAACACATTATAAGTTTATCTTTAAGAAAAAAATGAAAATTGCAGGTAATCTTTGACTTAGTTAAAATATTGAATCGAATACATTAACCTAGCATATAAATATGAATAATACTTGAAGCTTTGCATTTTGTGGGAAGTCAAACCATTTTTGTTTAATAAAACAATTGTGTTTTTGATATTGCTTTTAATGTTACTTTCGTCGTTACCTTTAGTATGGACCCTTTGTCATCCAATACACCCCAAACAACAACAACAACAACATTTATTCCATTTTTAAGTGTACCTAAATTACTGATGAAATGACAAAATGATAACGGATGACTGGCCGACTATAAGCTACGTCCTATATTTTAACGGATTAGGAAAGAATATTTTCTTCCATCGAGATCAGAGAAAAGAAATCAGTTATATGTAATTTAAAATAGATCTATCAAACATCCTTGACTTCCGTTATCTTTTTGTAACTAGCATATTTTTATAACTATCGAACTCTTAGGTAACGAGTTTAGGACGTATACTTTAGTTATTAAAATCCTTAAAAACAAGATCGTGTTTTTTAAATACAAATTCACCCGTCAGTAACAATTTTTCAATTCATTTTCACTCATTCACTCAGAAATGCAGAAAAATTGCCACAAAAATATTATCTTGACCCACAATCCCCTAGCTCGATCAACAGCAAGAATACCATACAAGTTTTCTTCTTACAAAATATGAACGACATGTTCATAAGTAAAATGAGATGTGGGTCAAAGTGTAAAAAAATCTATTTTTAGCACTGGTGACCATGACCAAACTGACCCAAAACTCCATCCAAAGAAAGTGACTTTAATTTTATGTTCCTACCAAATATATAAGACATCTTTATCAAAAGGAAGGAGACCACGCATGTTATCATCCTGCCAAAAATATAAACACATCAGTTTTTCAGTTATTTTTGACACCACATAAAACACAAATTTACAATGGTTTCAATACAGAATTGTACACAGAAACCTTGGCACAAACGAACTTTTGTATAAGATATAATACAAAGATTATCCAAACTGCAGTTAGCAACATATTTTCTGAAAGCTTGGAACACCTTTTTTTGGAGCTGTAAAGTTGTTTTTGATATGATTCATGGCCTATTTGAAAATACTCATTTGCATTTGACAAGAATACAATCTTTTAGGCATACAAAATGCTGATTATGAAACCAATCTTTTGCTTTTATTTGTAAAGAAGTATATATATTATTGTAAAATGAATTTTGAAAGACCGTCTATAGAGTTTGCTAAGGTTACAAACATTGGGACGGTTTGAAATGTATTTTCATTTCTTCATTTCATAATTAGTATGTGAGTGTGGACATTATATTATTGATTTTGTATTATAAGTTTTAAAAAAGTCTTTGTATGTATGTTTGAATGTATGTATTTATCTATATTCAAAATAAACGGGGTTACCCTTTAAGCTCCCCCCCCCCCAACCCTCAACCTAAAAACATCAGTAAAAAAAGGTTTCATAGCCAAATAATTATGTGAACTCTATTATTAGCACGATTAACATTGACCCACTGACCCCTATCTCCATCAAAAGGAAGAATATTCTGCAAGTTATCTTCCTACCAAATATAATATACATATGTCAATAAATAAAGCTTTTATGGGCAAAAGTGTAAAACATCTATTTTATCAATGGTGACTTTGACCCTACTGACCCCTTACTCAATCCAAAGGCAGAATACCATGCAAGTTATCTTCCTACCAAATACGAAATATATCTTTCACTATATACATTGGTGACCTTGACCCCTAACTGAACCCAAAGGAAGAACTGATGACCTCTCTTGGCATGTTTGTATTAAACATGAAAGACATCAAATTAAAAAAAAGGATGTATGAGCAAAATGTTAAAATATTTTTTATACAAATGACATTGACCCTGAACCTAGAAACCCTGATTTCCAAAAACAATAGAGGACAATTGCAGATATCCACCTACCATATATGGAAGATGTCATTTCATAAATATAGCAATTAGGATAAATAAATTCAACATGTCGGCATATTTTAACCATACAAGGTCCTTTAACTGTGACAAATGGATGGCACAGTTATAGAACTTGTCAATATCAAGTACTTTGTATTGATTAGTACGTGTGGAAAATATGAAGTCATTAGTATAGATAGAACTTTATTATTACTTATGCAACTTGCCAAGATCATGCATTTGTATTGACTAGTAAGTTTGTAAATTATGAAGCCATTGGAACAGGTTGAAGTTTTCGTTTTAGGTTGAGGTCATACGGACAGATTGACAGACGGACGGATGGTCGAAATAGAAAAAGGGGCCATTACTGTGAATATTTTCTTTTGTTTAATAGTGGGCCATTGGCAACTTACTCTTTTGTTAGGGAATGAACTATGTTGTTCTCTTTTGTTCTGTTTACAGTTAGATGGCCGCTTATTACTATTCAGTCGTGCGGACGGACAGACGGACGGACGGACGGGTCAATTACTATATGCCCAGGGACATTATAAAATAACACGCACCGTAAGTATTCTTTATATCCAAAAAACTTTGTTTCATTAGAAATATAAAGTAATTACAATTAATTTTGGATAGATTTTAAGCCTCATCAATATTGCAAAGGATATTCAGCAATTTTCAAACTTTACTGGCAAAGTCTTGCTAATAGGTCTGACAACGATAGATTTATTTATAAAGGTGATTTTGACGAACCTCATGTGTTACAAACTTCAAAGCAACACCAGGGTGCAAAAGCACTTCAACTGCTGGAGCTAAGAGATGCATAGACTCCAGTTATTCAGACCAATTTATCATGCAGCTGCTGTGATTCGTATGCCTCAATTATAAACGGTATCTCCTCAGGCACAAGGGACTGATTGAATCTTTAATACAGATTATTACTACATATAAGAAAGAGAAATATAATTATGTTTATTACCTCTTGAGGGGCTGAAGGATTTTCATTTGAAGTCTCAATCTCTTCTTCATTACCAACATAAGCCAGATATAACTGCAGCTGTCTATACACACGATGACATACAATATCATAAACAAAACAACAAACAGCATAATGGGATGGCTATGGGACAAAACAGATAAGATGCTACTCTGCAGTGCACATTACTTAAGTATTGATCAAAATAAATTGACATAGTATGAGACCTTAGAAATTTATTAAGAAATCCGATATTTTTGTTAAGAGGCTACGAATGTTAAACATTAAGTTGGTCATTTTTCAAAAAGCTTATTTCATCTATCTGTGCAATGAATTCATATCTATGGTAGGATGACTTGCAGTTTTGTAAATGATTGCGGACAATAACTTTGTAAGATGTCATAAAACACGTTAACTTTGAAAGGAGTTCTTCTAAAATCCGATATGATTATAAATGAAAGACTTCAATAAGCATTAGGTTGCTTCCAGTCTAATCCATTTTCTTGTTTTGATTGTTAATATCATGTATGTAAATATGTTTATGTGACGAATAAAATATGTTTAAACCAAATGAAGTAAACAAATATTTCGAAGACTTACCCTTTAGGTGTAAGAGTATATTCTTTACTGGCAACATCTCTGCCTGGTCGTTCAATATCTATACTTGTATGATTCAATGGGATTTCCAGGTATGTATACTGTAAACACAGAATAGCCAACAGTTTGTTCATGAATGTATATCTAAGTAGTAGGAATATTGAGAAATGTCAGCAAAATATTCCATAGTCTAGACAAACATATATAAATCATATGCATGTAATACAATCATTATTTCAAATATATTCTCAAAAGATAACTATCTATATATGTCCAGGTCTTAAAGTTATTAAGACGGAGAGTATGTCTATAACACAAAACATTCTCTCTTGTAAAATGACTATCTTGCTAACTCACAAAACATTTTTGATTTTACTAGGAACGCTCTTAAGCTTCTTATAAAGTAGTCATTTTCATTTTTTATTTTCATTTTTATCAAATGTCTGAAGCTCAAACGTTCAAATGACCTTTGTTGTTAAATATAAAAGCAGTAATGAATATTCAAATACACCTTATCCCCTAACTGATAATGTCAGTTAACAGGTTTTAGAATTAAGCAAGAGCCACCGCCAGGGAAGGGCAACGTTCGTTTATTTCTATCTTTTTCTATATGAAATCAAATAATCCGTTTAAAATCAAAGCTTTAAAAAATTAAGAAAAAAAGTTTTTCCTTGTACAATTTGATTATGTCTGTCTAGTCACACTTGTTGTTTTATCCAGCTTGACTCATTCTCAAAAATAAATGATAAAGTAAAAAATATAAATAAAATTCATTTATTAGACTGTCAATATAATTAAAATGTCAATGTTATATGTAAATTATATAACATGTCCGTTTGGTCACAAAGGTTATCAATATTTTGTTCACGTATGAATAAAATACGTATCTAACAAAATTATGACAAATTAACCAAATTCAATAATTTGACCTTCACGGTCAAGGTTATTTAAAACTCAGGGTCAAGGTCTGTTCCACCTTTTTAGGAGTCCTGTCCGATGGTTTGTCTTGTCCAAGTATGAAAATAATCCATTGATTAATAATCAAGTTTTGGACAATTAAAGCAAAAATCGGTGCAAATTCAATAATGTGACTTTCAAGGTTAATGTCATTCATGAGACAAAGTCAATTTGAGTTCGATATACATGAAAGTCCTGATATAAAAGATGTTATTTCTAAATATGAAATTAATCCATTAACAAACAACAAAGATACAGCGAGTTACAGCAGAAAACAAGAGAATTTCATTTATCTGACTTTGCCAGTCAAGGTCAATTAAAGGCAAAATCAAATCTGAATTATTCAAGATGTTTGTTTTGTAAGAATTGTGTTAAAAGGGGTGAGTGGCCTTATATGTAGAAATTGTCAGCAACTTGAGAACAGAAGCTTTATTAATACTGGTTGAGACACCAGAAAACCTTATTTAATCAACAACTTGCATTTGACTAAAGTATTGTTTAAGACTCTGATTTATTTAGATTAAAACAATTCATTGATTAGAAAATAACTTACCACTGTACATGCTTTAAACACTTCAAACCGTAATATATATTCTTTTCTAGGATCCACCTGTAACAAATCAGAAGGAAATATATTCACACATAGGTAAATTAAGATATGATGTAGCATTCTTGGGAATCAATGGGAATCAGTGGCACATTTATACACTTACATTGAACTAACATAAGACTAAAGACTAAAGATTTAACATTTTTTCAAAATAACTTTTAACTGCAATATAGCATATAAATATAGTGTATAAAGTTTACACATATGATATATATTTGTAGACAAAAGCTATAATAACTGTGACAAGAACAGTGACTAAATAGGGCAAAGTGAAATCCAGTAATCACCTAGTACGTGTCGAAATAAAACTATTTGTGAATTCATTAAATTTAACCAAGAACTATATAGGACAAATTACTTACCCTGAATAAAAACTCCTCATCCCAGTTTGGGTTGTTCCCTGTCTGTAAGAAGAGTAAATACTTCAATACATTTGCTTTTATCTAGATCATGAAGTATTTAAAAAAAAGCTTTAATATGCATATTATTCTCAAACAAGATATGTGCAGTATTCCGAAATCTGTGCAGTTTTGTTTTTCATTTTGAAGCAATTTCTAATAATATAATGGGTATCACAATGAAAATATGAAAATACTGTAAGACCACCTAAGAGCCCTACGTACAATGTCTTGAAATTAACGACCAACCCTTCTGAAATTTTAATGACGTATTACTGAAATAAAAGTGTGTTTGACATGATTTTAGATATGCAGAGACATATTTTATTGCTTCAGACAAATCACATAAAAAGTTTGTGTTTATATTTGTATTTTACAGAGTATAAAGCTATATCTTATGAAAATTGTTAATACAATTTTTAAACAGTAAACTTACTCATGTTATAAAGATTATGGCAAGATATGACCATGTGTGTGTTTTAATTCTCACTTCAAAGCAAAACAAAGTATGATTTGAAAATAAACCTGTTTGATACTTTCTTTTTCGGTATGTATTTCTGTTGCCTGTCTGTTCTCCTTCAGCGATATTCGCATATAACTGTAATAAACGGCTTACTTGTTATCGTGTGTTAGTGCGCTTACTGATTAAAATCAATTTTAAATTTTATCTGTTTTCTGTATAATTTAATCAATGTCTCCGTACATAAACTAATTAAGTAAGCTTGCCTATGCTAAATCCTGGTTAACATAGTTCCCTTATTCCATGCTCTTTTCTCACTGATATATGCACTTGCAAACCTATGATAGGAGATTTTCAAGAAGATAAACTATCTAGGAAATTACTATATGTATATGACTGAAGCAGGTTTTATAACGAACAAAAAAAACATACTAAGTTTCGGTGAAAAAACTTTGTCTTGGAATAGTTCCTGATACAATTCGTACTCTCAAAATCTTTATATTCCCTTCATGGTGTGTCTACAAACATAAGATAATGTACAGTCAGTTAAACAATTTATTTGTATTTTTTTTAATCATACATGTATTTTAACATTTGCAGATTTGATACTATTGAAATTAGCAAACACTGTGAATTGGGACAAACAGGAGATATGATAATCCAATTATGCCAGCTCATATAGGCGTTAGAGTGCGAGACTTGTATCTCGACATTGTGGGTTTGATTACTGACCTGGCCAACTTAAATTACTTAAACAGTTTTTCGGATGAGACTTTATATCGAAATCCCATGCATTAATGCTTAAACACTTGGAACGTTAAATAAACAGGAGAATCTTCTGAAATTGGGGCATTTTTTTGTATCTTGCACGTTCCTAAAAAATCTAAAATAACTAATACACATTTGGAAGACTGTGCATATGTTTAACCAGTGGCAAGTATAAATAAACTCTAACACACTTGCACTTAATGTGAAGTATTTGATCTTTGTTCAACATACTTCTAACCCTTACCCTACCCTTATCCTTAACATACCCTTATGTGTTCCTAAACCTACATTAAACATAGTGTGTATACAATGTTAGGCTCCTAAACTTAAAATGACTCAGGGAAAGAAGGTTAAAGTTCCGATGTATACCTCAAAATGTATGTCTTGTTATATTTTACTGGTCCTTCGTGATCATTTAAGTTCAGAATATTGAGAACCGCTCAAGCCGGTGCTAGGGTAAGAGAGGGATGTTGTCCTTTTTTATTATCCCTCATTTACAGACTCATTCAAACCGAGTCTGCAATTTTCATGTTATTTTGTTGTGATTAATGCTTCCGAGGGATCTCATTTTATCCAGATTTTTATATTACAGGTGTCAATGATGAGTGGCAGCGGTAAAAAAATGCCCCGTACTTCACTTCAGTGTTATTATATTTTTCTGAAAAGACAATGACCAGACACACATGTTACCATATTACTGACCATTTTAAGCTTTGGCTCCCAAGAACGACCATTTTTACAGATTCGGGTTTGCGCATGATACATCGTCTTATTCTGGTGAACATTTGTGCAAAGTAATTTTAAAATGCCTTGATTTATGAAAAAGTTATGGAGTTGACACGAACATTTACATGTATCCTATAACAGACCATGTTAGGATTTGACCTCGAAGTATGACATTGACCTTTGATATATGGGTCCGGTTGTTGTACAGGACACGACGTCTTATAATTGTTAATATATTTGTGCAAAGTATTTTGAAAATCCCTCGATGGACGGGAAAGATATAGACAATGTTGTCATTTAATAACCAAGTTCATCTTGGATGTAGAGGTTTGGTTGTTGCGCCTATTGTCTTATAGTAACATCATTTATAAATGCCAAAATATTTTAAATTCCTTTTATGAAAGGCTTAGATATGGACCGGACACGAATGTACGACGAGCGGACGTTCTCAGCAGACCTACATAGCGGGGTTATTTTTTTAGAAAATGACATACCATGTTATCGCCGTGTTGTGGAACTCTCCATACATTTTCTTTCGTGTTAACCTGAAAATAATATGCAATTGTAACATTTATACGGAATGCGAACAAAAGATGTATTTGAAACATCAAAATTGAAACAATACAAGTATATTCATCTTACAACTGTAAATCAACCTTAAATAAAGTAAATGGAACCGCATTTTTTACGTAGTCAACTTTCGTGACTTTAGGTCAAATACTTTTTAAGCTTCACACGACACAAGTTTTAAAATTTCGAATTTTTATTAATTCAAGGGCAATAACTCTAACATTCCTATAAAGTTTTATGACTTCGGTCAAATACATTTTGAGCTACGTGCCACTCAATATTTTACTAAGTCAATGGCAATTACTCTTAGAAAACAAAATTAATTCACAGGCAAAAACACCAGGTTGGTTAACGGATCGCTTCAAATGCTGTTCAACATTCTTGTAAAATGTTTCATGAGTCTATGTCAAATATTTTAGTGCTATGTGCAGCTAAGATAGAAAATTGCAAAATTTTCCCAAGTCACGGGCAATAACTATACAAAATATTGAATCAATCAAACGCTGGTGCACAGGTGCACATACTGACCAACATTCCTATATTATGTTCCATGACTCTAGATCTAATACTTTTTGGGCTTCGCACGACACAAATTCAAAAATTTTAATTGTTACTAGGTCAAAGGCAATGACTCTAACAAAACAGAATAAATCCACAAGAAAAACACAAGGTTCATAATTTCACATGCTGAATAACATTCCTTGAAGTTTCATGATCCTAGGTCAAATATTTTTTGAGCTTATTGCGACAAAAGTTGAAAATTACATATTTTTACTAAGTCAAGGGCAATAACTCTTGAAATATAGAATAAACCCACAATCAAACACCCAGGTGCACAGTAAAACATGCTGATCAATATTTCTGTAAAGGTTCATGACTGTGGGTCAGATACTTTTTTGAGTTACGTGCGACGCAACATGAGAACGGACGACGGACGCTCGTATGGATGGAAGAATGGTAAAACTTAATACGAGTCCCCACCCCCCTCCCCCGGTACAACAAATCAAAACTATTGTCTTCACTCAGATGATATTTTTTAGCACTTATATTATTTTATGTATCTATACATAGCTGGTGTTATCAATGAGTTTCTATTCAGTTCGAATTACTGTGCCCGTTATTATTCAAGAGCTAAACGTGTCCCATTATATATCTTTTGTCATAATCGATAAAAAAAAATATTTTTAAAATTTCAACCCATTCATATACGTTATGTTTTCGAAAAATATATCAAAATCATCTAATCTTTATTAATGTGTTCAAAATTAAAGAGTGAAATATATGAATGTTCATGTTAGTCACAATGAAAGCGTAAATATAATGACTTTAAAACAAAGTAAATATTAACTTACTGAAATCGATATCGCTTCAGGTCCAGGAGACGACATTTGTGATGTTTCGTGTGTTGAAATGAATTAACAATATATGATTTGTGTACAAAATCACTCTTTTCCACTTAATTCATCTTTATAAACTGTCCTATAATTGCATGTATGTGTTATGATATTAATGTTTTATTGTTTGATTACACCGTTTATACACCTTGTAACAATGCCAGATGTTCGCAATATTGACAAGATCAGATAAAGAGATAAAATTTGCAACTTGGTCTACTTATAACAAAGAACAAAATAATGCAGATAAACAGACTAAAACATAACAAGATAAAGACAAAATAAGGAAAAAAGGTAAAGATAAAATAGAATATGCTATGTAATCATAAACACTGCCAACTTTTTAATGACTTATCATTTTATTGTTTAAAATTGTATGCTTTTAATTCAAGGTTGCACTTAATATTAAAAATAATGTAAGACAATTAACATTAAAAACAATGTAAGGCTCTCTATAATATTATTCTGATACTAAACTGTTTCACAAATGAGGTTGTCTAATCCGTTGTTAAAATGTCTAGGGTATTTGAAAAGTTATCCCTTTCACTGAAAACAACTTTGTACTTAATGTTAACTTACCACTAATAAGGCACCCGATTGTGAATTTTTGGAGAATTCATTCATACCTATATTTACTCTTAATTTATCTCTTTATTGTTTTACTATTATCAATACCTTTATTATTTTTCTTCGTGTCATCATTTGCTTGAAAGGTTAATTATTTGCTTATATGCTTACATTTAACGGTCGACATTGGAAAATAGTAAGTATAATTTGCCTAAATTATAAAATTACTCAAACTTTTTATATCGTGAACGTTAAAGGTAAATTCCGATGTATATTTTCTTGGACCAAGCGAGTTATTTATCGACCATGCGAAGAAAATTATAAAATTGAAGGAAAATATGCAATAAATTTATTTTGACTTTCAATGTTTACTAACTATATACTCTTGGATGGATGGGCATAACATCAAATTTTCCATTTTATGTCACTAGCATATTATATGATCGGATGCATTGTCTCTTTTGAAACATTTAAACTGTTATGGTGTTAGGTCAGACAATTGTATAGACTTATATTATAAGAAATAACCACTAAACCGACATTAAGAAAATAAAAGTATTCATGATAAAGATGTGAATTTTCTAGAAATGACACAATAAATTGATTTTGTTATATAGGGTTAATCGACCAAATTTTTCGCAAAATGTCCCCAAAGATGATTACCCTTTTTACTGAAACTTTCTGCTGACTACTGGAGTGACATATACAACATACTTTTAAAAAAAAAATGCAAATATCGATATGAAAAATTATCCTAGACACTAAGTCTTATGAAACAGTTCATTTTCTTAAGAAAACAATGCAGTGTTAGTTTCTACAATAATGTTCATACGTTTAATCATTACATTTCCATCCAATCATCTGATGTACCATTGAATCTTACGGTTTTCCCTCACCTTTTGCAGCAAATCGCAGTTATTATAATGCTAATATAATTAAGTATTTTTCATAATGATAATGTTGGGCTGAAGACTGTCATATTTGCATAAAAGGCCGAAGGTCACCATGACAGTCTAAAGCCTATTAACAAGGCCATTATGAAAACACTTAATTATTGATAATTTTATTAATTAACTACACATAATCTAAAAAAAGGTAAGTACTTAGTGAACAAAAAATTAAGTAATGTAAAATTGCGTTGTTGTGAGGTATTCAAATGAGATTCTAGATTTAAAAATGTCTCAGAAACCTACCTTGCAGCAATTCGAAATGGCGACTTTTTCAATGATAACGCAAAACAAAAGCAGATTCATAATGACCGAGTTGGAGACCCAATCAAACTTCTCCAATATCATAAAAGCCGAGTCGTACTTTTACATAAATGACCTTGCTTTATGTTCATAATGTCGTGGTAAACTTCATATTAGCCTTACATTTGAATTGAAAACCTGCATAATATTGAAAAATTAATTAATAAATGATTTTAATGAGATAGGCTGGCAGGCAGGTACATTGTAAGTCACATATATAGATTTCTGATATAGATAAATAGGTAATTATGTACATGTATTTATTAAGCCGTGTTTTAACGGGGATACTTAATTTCTATACATCTCATTACACAAGTAAGGGAATAACAATACCTCGGGATAGAAGATTAAGGCAGACTGACATATCTGAAACCAGAATAAAACCCTTACGTAACTCCATTTATATTCGAAGCTGTCTATTGCAGTGTGTGTGTGTGTGGGGGGGGGGGGGGGTACTCGTTCGATTGATAGGAATATTATAGGGCCGTTGTGCTTAATATAGGTGGTGGCTGCATGCAATGCTTGCCCAATTGTCTAGCTGAAACCACATGGTTTGAGTTATATGTATATAATGTTTCCGTTGTATTGGTAAGTGCCAGACATGGCTTGTGTTATTAAATTAGTAATATTAATAATAATAAACGCTTTATTTCATAAAAGTGACATATCAAGAAATACATGTCTCATTTGCAATATGACCTTCAATTAAACAAGGTAAAGAAATCCACAAATATGTACACGCATATAAAAAGTGAAAACAACAGACATTTAAATCGACAGACAGGTGCCTTCATCAGGACAGGCGCCTCTCAATTTTACTCACTAAAACCGAAGGAAAACAATGCGCCCCCTACTTACTTCTTTATTTCTTAACCAATTTAAATGATTTTGGTATCAAATTAAATATTACTTAATACGCTTTCTAGAGATGTCTTTATATGTAAAATAAATTAATTGAGTAAAAATGTTATTTCTGTCCTTTCAAAGTTTACCATTCTTTCAAAACAAAAACGCACTGTAAAATCCGGAGAGAAAAACACGTTGCCCCTTAATTAATTTCTTTACTTATTAATAATTTTTCAATTTCTTTATAATTTAAAGAATGAAAGTTAAGATTTCAAAACTTCAGAATATACAAAAAAATGAAATAATTTAATCTTTAAAAAAAATACCGCATCAAAAAATTGGACTTATACGGTATTTTTTTTTTTTTTTTTTTTTTTTTTTTTTTTTTTTTACTTTTTTCATTTTCAAATTCAGTACGTTGTGTTATAAGTACTCCATACAATACAACAATTATCAAAACAAGGTAAAATATAGGCAATGTAAAGCATTTCTTTCATTTCGACAGATACAATAGGGGAGAGATTTACAGATAAATCATATATGGGTTATGAATGAACGGAGCGTCTAATGATAAGACCAAATTTTATTTGTTTGGTAGGCAGCCAATACATTATTTTATAATAGACAGAATATAGAGTACACTTTAATCTACTCTGAATATACTTGTCAGGAAATAAGCCTGATATATTTACAGAAAGAGTCTAAAGGAATATATGAATTATACTTTTATAATATTTATAGTCGAAAATCATGTGACAACATTCACTTAAGATGCAAATATATACTAAAAATCACCAATAAAAGTCAAATCACCTCAATAGCTTTAATCAATTTCGGTATCTTTCCGTTTTTATGTACCTTTCGGTTATTCGTATTATTGGAACGGTAAACAGACGGTATTTAGTCATATACGGATCTGTAACTTCCGGTCTAGAACCAAAAACAACAAATAATTTTAATTTTACATCACAATTTTCAGTTAATTTATATTTAGCTGATTATACAAGGTAATAGAAATACTAACAATGAGATTGCCGCTACTGTCAGTTACTCTCACTAAAATTATGCTATTCATTTCAATGTTCATGTAGAAAGGGACAGTGTAAAACAGTTTTTTATGTGAATAAACTGCTGTTCTATGCTTAATATCTAGAAAACAAATAATTATAAATAAGATGTTAACTGTCTTTGTGTTTAAATTTGTTGTTTGTTGTAAGCAGGATTTTTTTTTCATAAATAAAAAGTATGAAACTTATGGGTGTAAACACAGGCAAAAGTATCGGACCTGGGAAGAAAAAATATGACCAGATTGATAAAAAAAACCTGTGTTCATCTTAAAAGTGTCAAAAAAAAAACAAAAAAAAATGTATATAATGACCCCCTTTAAAAATATACTATAAGTTAAGAGAAGGCCGAAAAGTAATTTTTACACGTAGTCAGCTGACATACATGTATTAGTCTATGTTAACGTACCGAATTGTTGTGCCGCAATTATGTCTACCAAGGATTTTTAGCATGAAGTCAATCGTTTCCTGATAGATATTTCATGAACGGGAAGGGCTAGAGACTTTGGGTTGGTCTCATTTTGAAGCTTTATATAAACGTGAAATAGTGATAAAAGTTTTTTTTAATTGTCTGGCCAATTGTTTTCACAACGGCCCGGGAAATGAATCCCTTGCTCGTAGGCTCGAATCTGGAGTTTCCGGCCTTCTCTTAACTTATAGTATATTTTTAAGGGGGTCATTATATTACATTTTTTTGTTTTTTTTTGACACTTTTAAGATGAACACAGGTTTTTTTTTATCAATCTGGTCATATTTTTTCTTCCCAGGTCCGATACTTTTGCCTGTGGGTGTAAAGAGAAGTCAATTCTCACAAATGCTCTATGATTAGACTCACCGGACCTATGCTCGCCCAGGCGCATGCTCGCCCAGATTTTGATTTTTATGATATAAACACAAAATTATTAAACTTATATAAAAAAAAATTATCTGAATCATGTGTTGTTGTTTCTTGATGCTGCAAGTGTCCTAGTTTCTCACCTTGTTTTTGAAGAGTTTAACGGAAGTTGTTAGCATAATAAAGCAGACGAAAACGGAAGTACAAATGAAAGTCCGTGATGCTAATAAAAAACAACGAATCATGCGTGACTTTTTAATTAAATCTTAATAAAAATAAACTCAAAATAACAATTAAACATTGTTCTTACTTTTTGTAAAGTTTAAGTCGTTTCGATATATTTAAAACAGTCATAAACTGGTATTGACACCAGCTGTCATATTGTTTTTCTACATGCAATTTCCAGGGCCGCCATTATAGACGGCTTTTTCCATTAAATCTGTCGCTTTTGGTGCATTTATGGTGTATTTTTTGTTTAGACATTGATTTATTAATAACTTAGTAGATAATAACAGCTTTAAATAAAAAATTAATTACTTTTTTCGTTTTTTATCAGAAGTTACTAAAAATAACTTAGGTCTTACACCACTAATTTTCCCCATATCCTCTTCAGGGTGATCAGTATGCCCAGTATGCCCAGATAACAAAAAAATCATGATCCTGAGACATTTGAAAAGGCAAGAAAGCTTTTAAAAGAGGAATATGACAAGTGGTGCCACTATGAGTGCTTGCCATCTACTGTGCAAACAGATCTATCTGAGTTTAGTTACCAGCACAAGGTGGTTTTGTAGATATTGTGAAGAGGAGTAATTGTTGGAGCAGTAGACCACACACTGTTGTTTTTGTTCTAGTTTATGTTTCTAGTTAGCTTTTTGAATTTGAAAAAAACAACTTATGTACATGATATTTAGTCACAGAAACTTTTTAGTCACAATCTACCAACAGCAGTTGACTATCTTTTGAAAAAATGAAAAGTCTACATAGTAAGTATATCTAAATAAGTTTTTCTCTGTAAAAATATAATTATATGCAAAAATATAAATACCTGCTTTATATTAACAAATCAGTCTAAAAATATGATGAATGATTCCAGGTAATATCCGTTTTATATTCGTAATATACCGGTGGGCGAGCATGGGTCTCCTCCCTTCAACATTTCAGAATATTAATTTGGCGGTGTTTAACCTGGCAGACAGTACCTGGATGTAAGTGTTTATGTTTTAAATGGGTCACATGACGTACCAAATATGACCAGCTATAAAACAAATTCGAAAAAGTTTTTTTCAAGTCAAAGTGTATTAAATAGTAATCAAATAATTGCCTTTATTGGGCGAGCATAGGTCCGGTGAGTCTACATCAGATTGTAATTTATTGACCTTTTCCAAAACCTAGCTAAACACTGTTTTCCGGTATGTAACAGATTTGGCTCTGGGGAATTACACCCAATGAAGTACATAGCACTATTATGTGATATTTCCATTTTCTATCATTATTTTACGAATTTCGGACCGTGGACGTTTCGGACCAGACACTTCAGACCAGATTTTTAGGTCATTTCGGACCAGATTTTTAGGTCATTTCGGACCAGATTTTGGGACATATCGGACCATGAGATTGTAATTTCGGACCATGATGGGGGACATTTCGGACCAGAAATTTTTATTCAATAGACCTTTTAGTCCTTTTTTATATACAATTATTTGTTATTTTAGGGTGTTATTACAATAATGTTCTTGCAACAAATATTTGACATTTTAAAATTTTATGACATTCAAAATGCATGCAGAAGAGACCGGTCTGACGAGATTTTCACATTTCCTGACAAGCTTATAGACCTCTATTATTGTTTTGATTATCCATGTAAAAATTTATATCATAATTCATTTATGAAATTCCTATACGCTGACATTTTTTTAGAATTGAAAAAATGTTAAAATAATGATAAATTTCCTTTAGAACTATATTGGTAAGTGTTGGATATATTTATGCGAATGCCCTTCATACAGAACATAGATAATGATACGCTTTGTTTAACTTAATTAAAAGAATTAAAATTGATTTACATACCTGTTTAATCAACTATTTGATAACGTGCACAATAAGTACCCACCCACGCTGAATATACATATTTAAAGTCAATTTTAATGAAATTAAATCGTGTCCTGGCAGGTATTAAAGAACAACGACATCCTTGTCAATGCAGTTTTTCACACGTTTTAATTGCTCAATAGAACTCGTTTAAGTCACGTTTCACTCAATTAAAGAAGTATGTATGTAATTATATTAATGTAAATTATTTATATCTTATTTTACATTAAAAAATTTTGTCCCTGTGTTTTGTTAGCTGTGTTTTGTTAGATCCATATGATATAAGGGTCAATAATTATCTAAATGTATACATTCATTCATTTTGTATGTATGTGTTTGTAAGATAATGTAAGATTTGTGATATTAGAATATGTTGTAAATAATTTATTATGACGTCATTATGATTTCTTTTTTATATATACTTTATAATATTTTTTTTTGAAAACGTGTGTCACAAAAAACATTTTTTTAATTTTTCTTTATTTATAGTGCAAAAGATATAAAATCTAAATCTGGATAGGTGTAAAATTGTTCTATGGTGTCTCATATATACTAAAGTTACTCTTTAGTTTATAGAATAATTGATGCATAATATATCAAAAAATAATATTTAATCTGGTCCGAAATGTCCAAGACAATGGTCCAAAGTGTCTAACACATGATCCCAAATGTCCAACACATGGTCCGAAATGTTCAAAACAATGGTCGAAGTGTTTAACGCATCGTCTGAAATGTCCAATACATGGTCCGAAATGTCCCTAAATATGGTCTGAAGTGTCCCAAAATCTGGTCCTAAGTGTCTGGTCCGAAATGTCCTATTACCTATTTTACTGTTTATGGTGGAAAAACTTGATGTGTTTGAAAATTATCAATGTTATTATGAATTAAAAATCTGTAAAATTAAAACAGTCGTTGTGGCATCTGCCAAAATGAACAGAGACATTTTCTGCATAAACTTATATATATTTACTTTATTTTTTAACATTGAATTATTTATTCAGTCATATTTAATTATTTTCTCACAAAGAAATAATTGTTTTATTACACTTTAATCCAAAAAGTGCAAAAAAATACAGATCGTTACTAAACGCCCTTCACGTTAATTCCCCAGAGCTGTGTACAGAATGTACCAGAAAACGACATTTAGCTAGGTTTTCAAATTCGTGAATTGTAGACCCAGCTTTCCCTGTTAGCGACTCATTAGTGATTACTTTTTCAAAAGATCATTAGAATTTTAATTAAAACAGTCACTTTTAAGACAATTATGTATATAGATAACATTTAACCTATTATTTTTCTGATTTATCGCATCAGTTTACTAGTAACCAATTCCAACCGATAATCAGTTGCAGTTCTCCAACAGATATCCCATCACTAACCCATCCAAAATTATCACAATGTTTTTTTGACGGGTCTAAATAAAAAGTCTGACTCTCTAATGTATTACACTACAGTAGTCAGTAGGTAAACAAATGCCTGTTAATTACTCGGACTAATTGCGTCAAATTGTGTATCAGCTTATTTGACATTCTATGTGTACTTAATACTCCAGATGGTCAATTATTTCAAACTTAACCAAAATTGAGCAGAGTTTGTATCTTTTGTCTGTCAAATTTATGAAGAAATTCCATTGGCAATAATGAACAGTGGTTTTAGCGGTGATTTTAGCTAAGATCTGAAAACCCCCAATACTGGCATTACTGGTTGTTTGAAAGTCATCAATATTATTCATTTATTGTTTCTACAGCTATTGACTGATACATAATTTATCTCATGTACTATGATATAGAAGAATTGATAACAATTCACCCCAATAATGAATGACAAATCACCCCATGAGGAGTTGACTCATCCCACTTTACTCTTTCAACACTGAGTGTGTATCTTGGTTTAAGAGGTTTTGATGGGGTTTATTTATTTGTTCAAAGTAAAAAATTACTGAGGTGAATATTTTTTTTCTCCATGTTTTAAATTACATCATTCTGGTTTTAGGACTAATGGAGGCTTTTCAGGGATGAATTCATTGAATTGTGTATCAAGTAAAAGTACGAAGAAGAAAAAATCATCTCTAGAAACAAGAAATGAGAAGAAAGAAGCATTCAATATGGCAGATAAACCTGACAGTGAGTCACCTTCACCGTCTGTAAATAGATCAGATTCATTGATTGAGGAAACACATGTTACCGATGCTGAGCCCGGGCATACAGGAAGTATTGGAAAAGAACAAATGGAAAACATTGATGATTCACACAGTGAACATGATATAAGTGGGAGTGAAGAAAAAACTCAAAAATCTTGTGCAAAGGATATTACAGAAGTAGAGATTAGTGGTGATACTATTGAAAATAAGGAAAAGTCTGAGATTAATCTGGAAGAATTAGGATTTGTAGAGGTGAGTGAGTCTGATGTGGTAGGTATGGCATCGGTTAATGCTGGGAAAGTGAAGTTTGATATGGAAGTCGAAGATGAGACTGTTGAAGTGTTTAGTGAATTTGTTGACATGAGGTCTGTGATTGGAGATATAAAAGTTAAACACAGTGATGAAGAAATTGTAGAGATAAGTGGAGAACTGCATGTTGCAATACTTGAAGAGGCATCAGAAAAAGCAATATAAAGCTGCATTAC